CGGCCAGACCACAGGTGCTGGCCTATTTCTGGGTATCTCCTGATCGCTCCTCCTGCCTAGAGGAGAGTGTCCTCCCTCCACGGCAGTTTCCACGGGCGCCCCAATAACAGGTGTCGTAGAACTGGGAACCATGGCGCGTTCACGCGCTCGGGAGCCACCAGGAGAGCTGTCAATCCCTCCTCCTGAACTCTGTTCAGAAACCGTAATATCAGAGGAGGTGGAGGAAATGCGTAAAAAAAGAGTTTTGGGCCATGGGCTGTGAGCAAACGCGTCCACCCCCAGCGGTGGTTCGTCTCATGGGCTCAGTGACAACCATAGTTGACAATAAGCATTTTCTCAAGTCGCAAACAGGTTCACAGCTGCTTACCAAATTTCTGCCACGTCTGGGCCATCAGATATGGGTGGAAGGTCCAGTCCCCGTGACGCGGACCGCCCCTGGACATCACATCTGCCCCTTTCTTCAGAACACCAGGGATGTACACTGCTCTGACGGAGAGCAGATTTTGGTGTGCCCAACACAGTAGTTTTCTCGCAATGTGTAACATTTGGGTTGAGCGCATACCCCCCTGCCGGTTTATGTAAGCAGCAGTAACCTTGTTGTCCGTGTGAATCAAAACGTGTTGATTCTGTAGCACAGGAGCAAAGTGTTGAATCACCTTCAGAACCGTGCAACACTCCAGAACATTTATATGAGCTGTTGTGTGATGGGGCCACAGCGCCCCTAGAGCTCGAGATAGGAATGTCCCCCCCAACCTGACAACGACGCGTTTGTGAAGACTGACACGTGTGACGTGGGTCTGCTGACGGGGACTCCCTCTGACAGAGCCAGGGTGTTTTCCCAGTGTCGGAGGTCTGTTCTCACGGAGGGAGGAACAGTGATCATCCGTCTCTTTTGCTTTACTGGATCCACGCGCAGACGAGCAAACCATCTCTGGAGGTGTCTCATGTGTGGTAAACCCAATGGGACCACTGTGTGAGCTGACGACATTGTTCCTAACAGTTTCATGATGGAAATAGCTGTTACCACTCTGCCCGGTCTTACGTGGTGGAGCTGGACTCTTAGAGCGTCGATTCTCGTCTGTGATAAACGAGCCCTCATGGTGGTCGAGTATAGCTCCACTCCCAGATAAACAATCGTCTGGGCCGGGAGAATCAAGCTTTTTTCCAATTTATGGCAAATCCCAGATTTAACAGGTGTGGTGTCAAAACCTGAGCCTGCATTGCTGCTTCCCGTCTGGAGCGTGACAGCAGCAACAGGTCATCTAGTTAAAACAAAACTCTCATCCCTGCTCTGTGTAACGGTTGCAGGGCCATCTCCACACACTTTAAGAACGTACGAGGCGTGAGGGAATACTCGAACGGCAGCCTGTTGTACTGGAACTGCATCCCTTGAAAGGAAAAGCGCAGAAATTTTCTGTTTTGGGATGATCGGTATGTGAAAGTAAGCGTCTTTCAGATCGATGGAAACAAACCAGTCGTTCCTCTGGACATTGTCCAACAGTTGTCTGGTTGTCAACATGTGAAACAGTCTGTCCATGATCACCTTGTTGAAAACTGACAGGTCCAAAATCGGTCTCGTTCCTCCGGTCCGTTTTGGAACCAGGAAGTAACGTGAGTAAAAACCTGTGTTTCCTCTCTGTCGGGAACCCTGGAGATCACCTCTTTTACCAGAAGTTCTTGGACTTCTGCATTTAGGGATGAGACCTGGTCTGGTGATGACAGGACCATCTCTAAAACTCCTCAGAACGGCGTGGTTTGGACTGCAATTTGCAGCGTGTAACCCCTGCTTAACAGCCTGGTCATCCATTTGTCTGGCAAGCATGTTCGCAGCCACTCCGCGTAACGTTCATGGAGTGGGCGCGCGCTTAGGTGATGTGTCATGTTTTTACGGATGCCAGCCAGTCTACCGCCTCGACCACCGTCGTGTGCCGCGGGAGTGTGTTCCGCGTGACCCAAGGCGAGGCTTCCTCGAAAGGGCTCTGAGCGCATCTCTGTGTTGCGCTCGGGCTGCGGGTCCACATTCATGTCTATGTGGACCGGCGTGTGTTGAGGAGAGGTGTGTGAAAACTGTTGGCGCCGTGGGAGCGCGCGTTTGACACCACTGAGGTGAAAGGCGTGTCGCTCCTGCAGAGAGCGAGGTCCTTCACTGGGCTCGCTCTGCGGTCTCACATTTATGCTGACATGAGCGGGCGAGTGCTGAGAAGCGGTGAGCGCGCCTTCATAAACGCTGTGCTGTTTGAGTGAAGGCTGTAAGCGCCATGGAAGCACGAGTTTGCTTCGGTGGGGTGCGCACCGCTCCAGCTGAGAGCGAGGTTCGTCACCGGGCTCGTCCTGCGGTCTCACATTTATGCTGACGTGAGCGGGCGAGCGCTGAGAAGCGGTGAGCGCGCCTTCATCAACATCGTGCCATTTGAGTGAAGGCTGCAAGCGCCGCGGAAGCACGCGTTTGCTTCGTTGAGGCACGTGCCACGCTTGCTGAGAGCAAGGTCTCTCACCGGACCCGTTCTGCGGTCTCACATTTATGCTCATGCGAGACGGTGAACGCTGGGGAGCTGTGTGCACACCTTCATCAACGAAGCACCGTTTGGGTGAAGGCTGCTCGCGTCGCGGGAGTGCGCGTTTGACACCGCTTCGATGAGGAGTGTGCAGCTCGGGCTGAAAACGAGTTATTCCACTGAACTCGTTCTGTGGACCACATTCGCTTACGACTGTTGTGTCATGCGAGCGTCTTGTTTTGGAGCAACAGTAATTTTGAAAAACCTTTTTTAAAGGTCACTGGCTCATTTTGTGTGGAGGGTGTGTGAAGGAGCCGCTGTGAGGTAATCAGAGCTGACAGACTGGCTAAAAATAGACACTTTCATCATTAAATTATGTTTTATTCCAAAAACTAGTGTCATCTTCACACACATCTTCCGCAAACAGCCATTTTGAATCATCTCCCCCGTGAGCTCTGCAGTTTGTTGTCCTAGGGCGCCGCCTGTTGGTGATCTAAGGAAACGCTAAACCTCCGGTTGCCGGGATGAGAAAGGCTGATGTCTGACGGGCGGGGCTGGCGTAGCGGAGCGGGAAGACGCTGTGCAGCCGTGGAACGTCTTGAAAATGGTCCCGAACAGCACGTCCGTCATTGATGGGGGCCCTCCAACAAAAAGAAACTTTCTACAGCTCCTCCGAGAGAAAGGTAGAGTGATGGGCCAGGTGGACCTCTGGAAAACCTCGTCTTCCGGCTGCGATGCGAGAACGGCAGACAACAAAAGAGGCGCACAGGTTGAGGATGACATCAGCTGCCGTGCAGAGGAAGCGCTACGTCTCCTCCAGCCTCTTGAACGTTGTACGCCAGCAGCTTAACGTATTATTCGCTGCGGCCGCCTGGAACGCACACTGGTGAGCTCAGTTGGAGAGCAATGTCACCGTCTGGTTAAGCTTACCCAAAGGCGCAGGACGCTGGTCCAACCTGGACATCTTTGCTCCGAAAGCTCCGCCAGGCTCGGCTCCAGGGGGGCACCAAGGGAATTTCCGCTCGGTGAAACCCCTCCACTCTGGTGATGGGTGCGAATGTGGGAACCGGCGCCCTTTTTCTACCAGGAACCGGCTGTGGCCTCGTCCCAGTAGGACGTCACTGCTGGGAAACGAGGCCAGATGGGATCAGGACGGCGAGACGGAATGGAGCCCAGGAACCTTCCCGCTAGATCAAGTGATCTGGGCGGGGGAAGGAAAGGGACGGAAAAAGTCCCTTCATGTCAGCCGCCTCCTGGATTATGCCAGGCAGCTCCAGAGGAGGGCACCGATGGCTGGGAGCGGTGTGGTCACCGATGCGAAAAGAGGGTCGGAGGGGTGGGGGGGGGGAGCATTCACTCAGCCCCCCTCGTTCTGACACTACGTTCTCCAGGAGGGAGTGAGCAGCGGGGGGGCTGCTGCTGACATCGCATGACCCGGAGGAA